ACAGCTAGTTAAATGTTTCTGTTGCTTTCTGCATGCATTTAACCAATTTTTGCACCCATTTGTGGAGAATGTACATGCAACTGCATACATGCATATATTTTTGCATCCAGTAGAGGGCATCAGCTTTTTAAAATCTGACCCTAAATTTGCCCATAGTAACATACTACTCCAGTACTGAATTGTGAAATTACCATAAAAGTTTACTTTAGCAACTTTTAGAGATAAAGGTACTGCATTTGGTAAAGTTATTTGTCTGGGAGGGACATTACAGGATTGTCAACATATTTTTGTGGGTTCTCCATAATCAATAATTGTTTGCCCCATCTCAAAATATTTTTTAAACATCAAATTTGTGTTTCAATAAACTAAAGAATATAATTAATTGTTTTAATTATAAATAGACTAATTTAGATGTCCTTCTAAAGAAGAACTTTGTACTAAATATGAATGCATAGAATTTGGTAGAATGAAGAGAGAAAGAAAAGAAGAATGAGGGGGGATTTGATAGCTGCTTTCAACTACCTGAAAGGGGATTCCAAAAAGGTTGGATCTAGATTGTTCTCAGTGGTAGCAGAGGACAGAATAAGGAGTAATGGTCTCAAGTTGCAGTGGGGGAGATTTAGGTGGGATATTAGGAAAAACTTTATCACTAGGAAGGTGGTGAAGCACTGGAATTGGTTACCTAGGGAGGTGGTGGAATATCCTTCCTTAGAGGTTTTTAAGGTCAGGCTTAGATGGGATGATTTAGTTGGGGATTGGTCCTGCTTTGAGCAGGGGGTTGGACTAGATGACCTCCTGAGGTCCCTTCCAACCCTGATATTCTATGATTCTATTATTTGAATTTTATATAAAAATTTATAACATTGATTCATTAGATTTTAGGAACACTGAAGTTTTCAAGAAAAGAGCTATAAAAATAAAGGGTAAAAGGATATTAGACCTAAGGAAAAAATAAATAAAATATTTTTAAAAAATCCAAAGAATCAATAGAACTTTAATGTACTGTATTTTTTTTAAGCTAGTTCTCTTCTACAGCTTTAAAAAGGATTCTACATGATAAAAGTAATTTGGGGCTATTATACTCCCTTTCTCCAAATCAAGGGTCAGCAACCTGCAGAACGTGAGCTGATTTTTGGTGGCACGCTGAGCCAGCCGGGGTCCTGGCCGCCGGCCCCTTGCCAGCCCGCTGCCAGCCTGGATGGATGGAACCCAGGCCGGCAGCGGGCTGAGCGGGGCCGGTGGCCAGGACCCTGGCTGGCAGGGGCCGGCAGACAGAACCCCAGAGTGGCAGCGTGATGAGCCGCTCAGCCCACTGCCGGTCTGGGGTTCCGTCTGCTGCCCGCACTGCCAGTCTGGCACGCAAAACCTTTTACTGGCATGCGAAACCTTAAATTAATGAAGACTTGGCACACCATTTCTCAAAGGTTGCCAATCCCTGCTCTAAATAAACATAGCAATTTACACAAAAAAACTGTACTGAAAATGAGGACAAAAGAGATTAGACTTCAGTAAACATAGCCGGAAAAAAGTCGAACGGTAAGGACAAAGTGCACAGGGAACAGAGTTTAGGGCTAAGCTACTAATTGCAGATGGCATTATTATTTATATGGCACCCCAGGTGTGCATTCACTATATTTAAATGTAGTGACAGTGAGTTCAGCCTACCAAGGAAAGATAAGACCAAAGGTCCAAAAAAGAATGAGTCACTTTTATGAAGATATAATTGTAACATCTATCTGAAGTTCATAGAATCATAGAATCATAGAATATCAGGGTTGGAAGGGACCTCAAGAGGTCATCTAGTCCAACCCCCTGCTCAAAGCAGGACCAATTCCCAACTAAATCATCCCAGCCATGGCTTTGTCAAGCCGGGCCTTAAAAACCTCCAAGGAAGGAGACTCCACTACCTCCCTAGGTAACGCATTCCAGTGCTTCACCACCCTCCTAGTGAAATAGTGTTTCCTAATATCCAACCTGGGCCTCCGCCACTGCAACTTGAGACCACTGCTCCTTGTTCTGTCATCTGCCACCACTGAGAACAGCCGAGCTCCATCCTCTTTGGAACCCCCTTCAGGTAGTTGAAGGCTGCTATCAAATCCCCCCTCATTCTTCTCTTCTGGAGACTCAACAATCCCAGCAGAGGGTCCTGTGGCACCTTTAAGACTAACAGAAAGGTGCCACAGGACCCTCTGTTGCTTTTTACAGATTCAGACTAACACGGCTACCCTTCTGATACTAAACAATCCCAGTTCCCTCAGCCTCTCCTCATAAGTCATGTGCTCCAGACCCCTAATCATTTTTGTTGCCCTCCACTGGATTCTTTCCAATTTTTCCACATCCTTCTTGTAGTGTGGGGCCCAAAACTGGACACAGTATTCCAGATGAGGCCTCACCAATGTCAAATAAAGGGGAACGATCATGTTCCTCGATCTGCTGGCAATGCCCCTACTTATACAGCCCAAAATGCCGTTAGCCTTCTTGGCAACAAGAGCACACTATTGACTCATATCCAGCTTCTCGTCCACTGTGACCCCTAGGTCCTTTTCCGCAGAACTGCGACCTAGCCATTCGGTCCCTAGTCTGTAGCAGTGCATGGGATTCTTCCATCCTAAGTGCAGGACTCTGCACTTGTCCTTGTTGAACCTCATCAGGTTTTTTTTGGCCCAATCCTCTAATTTGTCTAGGTCCCTCTGTATCCGATCCCTACCCTCTAGTGTATCTACCACGCCTCCCAGTTTAGTGTTAAGTTAATCAAAGATGAAATCATCTCAGCAGTAATGAAGAGTAGGGAGAGGTAAATGGCTCAGTGAACTAATGCAGATCTGATTCTAGTAACTGGCTTCATATTTTCAAATGGAAATGAGGCTTTTTATATCAACCTGATTTGGATTCCATCTGCAAACTACTTGCCCTGTTTCTCTGAAAGAGTTACTGAAAATGTAGGCGAGAAAGAGGGTAACTTTACAAGTTCCAGGAAAACTAGAAGTTTGGGCTGGATGTGCATGGAAGAGGTCATATTACCTGTATTGTTATGGAGGTTTATTAGTCACTTTGGACCTGGTATTTTCAGAAGTTCTGAGTACCGACACTACAGGTCAACAGGAGCTACCCTCCTCTTAAAATGAGGCCATTAAAAGATACCAGAGATGCATAAATCTTAACAGATTAAACATATACTATTTCCACTTAGCATACTGAGCTCTAAATCAGCTTATTTGCCACTCATGCTGCCACAGTCCAAAATGCTGGCAATATTTTATTATTCAAGTTACCCTTAGAGGCAAAGGAAATACTAAAAATAATTAATCCAAGAAAGAATGCTATTTAAATGTTGATTCATGGTAGTTCTGTAAGTCAAGCAGCCAGAAGACATAAAATATTATTATATAATCTTAGAATTATATCTCTTAGGAATTTGTATTGACATTTTATAACGCACAGATTTCATCCATATTGATTTAGAACATTGGAATAAATGTACTTTATGTCCAATTCCCATTAGCAATAGCAGTCATTGTATGCATAACTTCCTGAGTATTACACCGGAATTTAAGCTCATTAGGTTCAGTCAGAATTAGTTTCAAATTAGAACGAAAATGAAAATAATGCTGAAATGTGACGGGGGGGAGGGGGGAAGACGACATAATAAAGTCTATTTGAAATGAAAACGGTACATTAACTCCACAGAATGCCATCCAGGCAAACTCATTTATACTAGTGTGAAGCTTGAATACTCAAGAAACGTCACTATTCCAGTGCTAGTTATGCGTTTTACAGTCTCAGCATACAGCAACCCTCTTATAGCCATGACTGAATTTAAAATCACATGGCATGACAAATCTCGGGAAATCGATTCCTACAGTAGGGAAAGGAACTTTCTCTTTAATTATTTGTATGACCAGTTTTCCCAGTCTTGGGCAGCTTCCTAATTCATTAGAAGAGGACCGTTTCATGCTTAATCTGCAGCCACTCTGCTCTCCAAAAGACATCAGACCTCACTTTACAAGGTGATTTTTAATTTTACATCAGGAAAAAAACCTACTAGACAGATGCTACTTTATAAATATAACCTTTTTAAATATAAAATTATATGCTCATAAAATAAATTACTTTGTAAAACAGTTAAATATATTTCAATGTAGATTAAATGGCCAAGATTTATTAAAGTGTATCTCTTCAGCTGGCAAGATGCTATCTTATGCCCCAAACCTGCAATTCCATTGACATAGTTGGATGCCTGTGCTCATGCAGAGCCCACTGAAGTCAATGGGGCTCCATTAAAGTGCAAGGATCAGCTGCATAGATGTCATTACAGGACTGATGAAATAATGTACTAAACAAAGAATGTGGGGAGATCTGGAAGACTCACAAAATATGCCCTTCCAATTGTTGTAGCAGCCTGGGGAAAAATGGCATTTTAGCAACCAGACCAATGAGGTAACAAAAATGAAGTCCAATCTCAAGTTCATGACTCTACAAATCACTTTTTAATGGGTTTTGGCCAAAATTTTCAAATTTTCAGTCCTAAAGTTAGGAATCTATATCCGTAATTAGGCACCTTTTGAGCAAAGCACATTATCTACTTAATTAACTTTAAGCACCTGCTTAAGTCCATCCCTACTTAGCAAGCCACTTAAGCATATGCTCAATCACATGTGTAAGTCTCACTGATGTCAACTTTAAAGTTAAGCATATGCTTAATGCTCTGCTGAATAAGCATGGACTCATATACTTTATTTCAGTGCTTTGTTGAAACGGAGTCCTAACTACATGAAATAATAGGCTCTAGGTGTTCAATACCTCTGAAAATTAGCACACCTATTTAAGTGTCTTAAACGTGGATATAATTGACTACATTAAAGTACCCATATGAATTTTGGCCTTGATATTTTGAGATTTAACCTCATTTATGGGAGAATAGGGCTAATAGTCTCATGCCACACTATCCAGGCTGAAGTTGGAAAATAGTGTTAAAAAATGTAACTTTAAATTACATTTACCTGTTTCAACGTCTGTTAAATGAAGCATAGAATCAAAGCCTCCACTGAGAATTCTTCTTCCACACAAAGACCACTGAGCAGTTCGAACAGCACAACTGTGACAGGAGTACGTTTTTAAACAACAGCCTGTATCTACAGCATTCCATATCTTAAAAAGAAACACAATGACAATTCTAAATATAAATTTTAAAACATCAGTAATTAAATTATTCAACCTGCTGATAAAGAATTAGAACAAATCAATTAGCCCAGCTGAGAAAGCTTCATATGGTTTAACAGATTTGATTTTGCTATGAGGATGGGATTAAAGTAAAACTGCACTCCCTTAAATTATGAAAATATTTTTACAGATCATAGAAATGTAGGGTTGGAAGAGACCTCGAAATCAGCTAGTCCAGTCCACTGTGCTGAGGCAGGACCAAGTAAACCTAGACCATCCCTGACATGTTTGTCCAACCTGTTTTTAAAAACCTCCAATTATGGGCATTCCCCAAACACCCAAAAGCCTATTTCAAAACTTAACTACCTTTATAGTTGGAAAGTTTTTCCTAATATCCAACCTAAATCTCCCTTGCTGCAGATTAGGCTCATTACTTCTTGTGCTGGACATGGAGAACAACCATCCTCTTAATAACAACCCTTAACAGATTTGAAATGAACATGCCCAGTTTTTTTAACCTTTCCTCATAAGTCAGGTTCCCTAACCCTTTTATCATTTTTGTTGCTCGCCTCTGGACTCTGTCCAAGTTGTCCACATTTTTCTTAAAGTGTGACAGAAACACAGTACTCCAGCTGAGACCTCATCAATATTGAGTCGAGTGGTACAATTACCTCCCGTGTCTTACATACAACATTTCTGTTAATAAATCCCAGAATTATATTAGCACCACATTGTTGACTCATATTCAATTTGTGATCCACTAGAACCCCCAAATTCCTTTCACCAATTCTACTACCTAGCCAGTTATTCCCCATTTTGTAGTTGTGTATTTGATTTTTCCTCTTAAGTGTAGTGTTTTATACTTATCTTTACTGAATTTCATCTTGTTGAATTCAGACAAATTTTCCAATTTGTCAAGGTCATTTTGAATGCTAATCCTATCCACCAAAATGCTTGCAACCCATCCCAACTCGGTGTCATCTGCAAATTTTATAAACAGATTCTCAACTCATTATCCAAGTCAATAATGAAAATATTAAATAGTATCGGACCCAGGACTGACCCCTGTGGGACCCCACTAAATAAATACACACTCCCAGTTTGATAGCAAGCCATTGATAACTACTCTTTGAATATGAACAGGCGTACTTGTGGCACCTTACAGACTAACAAATTTATTTGAGCATAAGCCCACGAAAGCTTATGCTCAAATAAATTTGTTAGTCTCTAAGATGCCACAAGTACTCCTGTTCTTTTTGCGGATACAGACTAACACGGCTGCTACTCTGAAATCTTTGAATATGGTCTTTCAACCAGTTGTGCGCCCCCTTTATAGTAATTTCACCTAAATCGCATTTCCCTAGTTTGCTTATAAGAATGTGACATGGGACGGTGTCAAAAGCCTTATTAGCAAAAGAAAGAATTTTTGTGGCAGGCATAATTTCCTGAGAATTCATAAACTGTTCTCAGTGGCAGCTCTTATTAGACCTTCCCACTGCCACTCCCTCATCTCCTTCCATGGTGAGAAACAACCCCAACAACTCCTGTTTGTTCCCTCTTGTTTCTCTCCCACATACTTCACCTGTAATCAACCCCATTTGGTAGTGAACAGGAACCCTGGCAGACTACAGATCTGAGATCTGCCTATATGTTGGCTAGGCCTGATTCTTCAATCTTGCAAATACTAATTTCAGGCAGCATTTTGCCACTCTCAAACTTTGCTTAAGAACTAGATATGAATATTGTCAGAGACTTGGGTAGGGTTCTCTAAAGTGCTCAGCACTGGCCTAATTCTAGCTTCAATTGAAGCAAAGTTAGGCCAATCTGAGCACTTCTGAAAATCCCACCTCTACTGATTACCTTAAATCTTTAAAGCATTAGGAAAAACAAAAGAGTATTCAATCTTTAACTTTTCTGGAATGTTGTATTCTAGTTCACATTTTAAAAACAAAAACAATGATTTGATAAAGGAAAAAGTAATGATTTTCTGAATCAAAGTAGCTGTCACAAGGTATTTATAGCAACTATTAACTATTTTTAATTATGATTTGGGTTATCAAATATGCAGTACACCTCATTAATCAAAAACACACATTCTATATGCAGAGTTTATCATATATTATGACAATCAAAATTTATCAAATTATATGTGAAAAATAACATCTAGCAAGTTCAGATTTGAGATTAGGTTAACCATTGATTTTTTTTATTATTAATATCTTGCTGCAAACAACACTAATTTATACAATCTGACTATATCACTTATTGCTATATCTATTATTTGTCTCAGGCAAAACAATTTTTTCCAATTATTTGGCTTCCAGCCAAATATTACAATTAGCTGCTAAGTGAACCCCAATATGTTTTCACTGCCAGTATTAGTAGTGCAAGAAGATCAATGTTTTAATGGTGCTAGATAACAATTTTATTGTACTTGCAGTTGAAAATTGAAAACCAGATGGTATATGGCTTAAAGTTATAACAGAAATACTAACAATCTTTGTGGTTTGTCACTATATTTCCATCATACTAAGGCCTTGTACTACAGTCAGCTTTTGTCGATAAAACAGTGGAGGCGTACACACTGAAATGCTCCTCCTGCCGATATAATATATGCTATGCCAACATAATAAAATCACCTCAACAAGAGGCATAGGGCTTATTTCAGTATAGTTAGGGTGACGTGTTTGTGTAGACACTGGGGTCCTTACATCAGCTGTTGGCTGTTATCCATTGGAGCCATGAAATTGTCAAGAAAGCTGGCTCCCAGGTCCTGAGCCAGGTTGCTTAGAGGTCTCCGCTCCAAGCCAGGCTGCCACCCAGGCTCCTGGCTTCGGCTGCTGCCTGGGCTCCCAACTCCCCACTGGGAGCCTTACTGTCTCCTGAGGTCCCGGCTTCCTGCCAGGAGCACGGCAGCCGACTGGATTCCAGGTGTGGATCTTCCTGCCGGAGGCGAGAAGCCCTGGGTGGCTTTCCCTCCCACCCCCCACTCCCAGCTCCCCCACACAGCCCCTCTTCAGTAAGTGGAAGAACTCCTGGTGAGGACATGCACCACCGACAGAACTAGGGTAGTGTGGACATGTGATGGCTGTAACTCGAGCTAAAATAGGTCGATTTAAGATTGTAGTGTAGACAGCCTAAATCTTGCTGCATATTTCAAACAAAAGTTGCCTGTAAGCTCACCAAAGACAGTGTTTATTCTTTCTATCCTAATTAACTACTCATTTTTTAAGCCTTGATCTGTATTATTATTTATATAATGGTTGAAATGTGCTAAGCAATTTACAGAACATAGAAAAGACACAGTCCCTGCTTCCAAGAGCTTATCTAAGAAACACAAGGGCCAAATTCTGTCCTCATTTGCAGCCAAGTAACTCCACTGAATTCAATTATTAATTAGTAAGATACAGTTGATTATGGTTCTATATTTAAAACAATTACATGTGCATTAAAGGCAAAATGAATGCTGTCAATGTCAACACGTGACTGGTTGTCTTTTCCATTGTAATAACAGCATAGATCAGGAACACTAAGCTGTAAGAAGAAAACAGCAAAAGAAAAATATTTTGTATTTATTTTTATCTCCTTCATCATCATTTTTTTCTTTTTACTGGACTAGAAAGGGTTATATCGGGGAAGGATTTGTTGATAGCTTTATCTGTATAACAGGCCACTCTTCACAGACAAGATTCTGTCTTATGACACTGCTTCGAAGTATCCCCATAACACGTACTGAATATCATTTTACTCTGATAAGCAACCAATTCTTGTTAGTTCCTTCACTGGTCATTTAAGCAGTCTTCACAAAGTTGTATCCTAACTATTCTACTCTAACTATGAGCAGGGAAATCAAGAAAAAAATATTAAAATACTTTTGGAAATAAGGTTCTATCATCTTTTAATGACTTTTAACAATCATTTCAGACATTACTATATAAAAAAAGGAGTTAATTATGTCCAGGAGCTATTTTAGCATGAGGAAGCTACTGAATGAATGAAGATGAAAGGAAAAACAGGTGGTAAATGCTTCAAAAAAATTTCCCTACCATGTTTTAATGATTAAATATGAAAAAGCAATTTCCTCAAGAAAGGAAAAATAAAACAAGCTTTAACAGCATTGCATGGTTTTGGTTTAAGAATAGAACATCTGTATAATAGAGAAAAATGTGTAACACAGATCGTGCTTTATGTTCTTCTCCATTTTATGGAAGGGAGCAAACATTTTGCACCTGTGGATGTAAACCATTAGAGACTGAGTGGAAGGGAAAAGTCACTAAATGGCATCCTTTCCATTTCCACCCTATAAGCGTCCATCAATTGCTTTCACCTATATAATGTTTGATGTGGAACATGTGTCTTTTAGGGGTGAGGTGGCCAGTTACGAGAAGTGGAGTTGGAATGCAGTTGCTCTGGAGGCATGACCCTATGCAAATTAACCTGATTCTGCAGAAGATGTTGCTGTTAGTTAATGCTAATAGGTTCAGCATCTACTGTGGCTTCAGACCCTACTTTAGGAGACACTCGAAAAATGTAGCGATCGCACAATAAAAGCAAAGCAACACAATAAATGCAAGGCTACACAATAAAAGTTGTCAATGTTATGTGTAGGGCAATGATCAGGGGCTCAGAAAGGGACGTTCCATGTCAAACAAAATTCCTTAAGGTTTGCTCCAGAGTTTCCTACAAATCTCTGGCCTACGTGGTTTTGGCTAGACACAGCTCAGTGATATAGACACAGCTCTCTGCCCTGCTGTGGGAAGGATAGCATGCTGCATTTTTTCCAAAAGAACTCACCAGTTTTAAATGTAAGTATGCCTTTGCCTGTGGAAGACGAAAAATATGGCCTATTGTTTACAAGAATCTGAGGCTACCAAAGAGACCAGTGATATCACAGGGAGCCCCTAAAACACCAGTTATAATGATGTAGTCATACATATGAACAACAATACTAAGATAAGCCACTGACTGAGAAGGACATCAAGGAACAAGCTTGGTGTTCAAGAGTCAAGGCAAGATTGTCCAAGGAAACTAGTTGTGCACTTTCCATGTGAATAGTAAACTATTCAGAGGTTGAAAGTCATGCATGACCAACTGTGATAGAATGGGATATATCTGAGTTAAATTATTAACTCTATCTTGTTCTCTGTATGAAGTGTTGGATACTGTGACTGCACAAGTCTGGACATGTCCAAATACAACGTATCAAACTGCATTCTGGACAGCTGTCCTACCTGGGAAAGGTGCTTGACACCTCGTTGAAGGACTATCACCAAGAAACCATCAACTTTGATTGGGATGGGATGGTTATTGAGAGATAATGAGAAAATGGACTTTCTACTAAGCAGCCCATATTGGGGGCTAGGGTAAGCATGCCTGGAAGGGGGTTGCAGCTTCCCCATGGAGCACATGGCAGAGAAAGAGACGCTTAATTAAAGAACAGGGTTCTGCTTTGTACAGAGGGATCAACCCTTGCCAGACATAAGACTTGCAGGAGGGTGTTAGCAGGAGGTAGTCTGACTATCCTGAAAAGCTGACAAACATTAGATTCACAAGAAGGGGTGAGATCAGATCAGGGAAATCTGTGTCTCAGGCAGGCTGTCCTTACCCATACGCAGCTGCATAGGGCACCAGGAAATTTGGGGCACCAAATTTCCTGGTGCCCTACGTAGCTGTGTGCCACTCCAGCCCCTGCTCCACCTCTTCGCCATGTCCCCCGCCCCTGCTCTGCCCCTTCCCACCCCTGCTCTGCCTCAGCCCCGCCCCCACTCCATCCTTTCCCCAAAGTCCCCACCCCTGCTCCTCCCTAGCCCCGCCCCCACTCCACTCCTTCCCCTGAGGACTGCAGCAGGGGTCAGGCCTGCACTCACCAGGCAGTGGTAAGCGGAGCGACCCGGCCCCAGCCCGCTCTGTGCAACCAGCTCCCAGTCACGCCACTGGTGAGTGCTGGGGGGGCAGTTTCCCCCTTCCCCCCAAGCTCCAAGGGTCACTCCACTTCCTGCCGCCCTGTGAGTGTGGAGTCGGGCGTGCCCTGCACTCACCGGGTGGCAGGAAGTGGAGTGACCCGGTCCCAACCCACTCCGCTGGCTCTTTTTAGGGGTAAAGTTTCTTTGGTTATGAAATTCCTTTGCTAAGCCTGTGTTCCTTCCTTTCCCACTATGTTTTTTTCAAAGGGGCTTAACTAGAAGTTTGAAGTGCCCACAGCTTAGCTGGAGCTCTGGGGGAGTGTGTGTGCTAGGGACCGGTAGGACTCTGGGGGTCTCAGACACTGATTTTGGGGTCTAGAACGGCAGTGACACCCAAGGAAGGGCATCAGAGCCAGGTCTGAGCCTGGGAGTCTGTCCTAGATTCTCAGAGCTAGAAACAGAGACTAAACTCTACCCAGATTCAGTCGGCTTGGAAGCATGTGGGACCTGATTGGGTCCACTGAGAAAAGACTGGTTTCAGAGTGGTAGCCGTGTTAGTCTGTATCAGCAAAAAGAACGAGGAGTACTTGTGGTACCTTAGACACTAACAAATGTATTTGAGCATAAGCTTTCATGGGTTAAAACCTGGTGACCACATAGGGAGGTACAGGGCCAAGATGTAACACAAACCACTGATTTTCAATGCCAGGAGACAGAACATTCTTGGGGGCAGGTCCAAAACTGTGGAATAATTCTCCCACAATGAAGGGCCATCACAAACCATAGCACTTACTGCTCCAGTGCAAGGTGCATTTCACTAATATCAATACACAGTATTTTTAAAAAAAAACTATCAAAACAAGACACTCCAATGAATGCATGGGGAGAGGATGAGAGAACAAACATGACATGACAGATGTTAGTCATGTTGTTTAATACACTGCTGGAAGGCACTAAGATACTACAATGATGAGCACAGTATAAGAACCTATACAGAACAGAATTGAGGCAAGGGGATAGAACAAAGCATAATTCGTAAATATCCAAAAGTGAAGCTCTTTGGAGATGCATTACATGAATTCATGTCGAAAACTTTCAGTCAATCTGAATCTCCATTTTTCAGGTAAAAGGTTTTGGGAGAAAAGTTTTATCTGGCTATATACGGAGCATGAATTTACATATTAAATCTATAAAAAGAACAACAATCGGGGGCATATAAGGACTTCATTAAAAATATAGACTGAGATATTCATACTCCTTGATACATCTATATTAATACCTATTTAGCCTTATGGGATTCCAGGCAATCATGCAAATCTCAGCTATAAAGTTGGAAAGAATTTATCTTTATTCCTTTTACCTAGACATAAAAAGCTATTTTTAAAGTAGGTGTCACATGCCACATTCTTTCAAAACTCTAAATCTTTTAACATGCTCAGCATTATCACTGGATGAAACACAAAAACATCTTTGCATTTTTCTTTTCTTTTTACTTAGTTCGCTCTTTTATCCCATGACAGTGGATTGGATTTTCAATTGCTTAGCTAACAAGTTAAACTCACACACTTCAATGTGCTACTTTGAAAATATTACTTTAAAATGTGACAGTACATGATTTCAATTATGAACAATAATCTTTTTATCCCTTCCGTTCATAAAGTTTGTTTATTCGTTTTTTATTTTTTTTCTCAAGAAAGAATATGGCTCTCTTTTTAATCCTGTGGCATTGTTCCTACCTCTGTGGTTATAATGAAATGTTGACACAACAGTAAAAAAACCCACCTCTTCTCAGGCATTTACAGAAATATACTGTTTTAGTTCTTTCAGTCAAGAAACCAAACTTGTCTACAGATTAGTCTGTAATAACTCAATATTTTGAGGCAGCACAATGCCAAGATTCAGATGAAATTCAAAAAATGTTTCTACTTGAATGAACTGAACTTTTAGTTTTTGGAATTTTTCCAGTCCAGTAAGTTTATACCGTATTTCTGCCATTGCCAATCAGTTTTACTGTACATATGCATTCCCCACATTTAAAACTATGATTTCTGGGCCAGTATGGTGCCAGTAGAATTTCTTTAGTTTTACATTGCCTGATCCTCTCTGTTGGTCTCTATTAGCATAGGTGCTGGAACTAGGGATACTGGTGGTTGCTGCCGCACACCCTGGCTTGAAATTGTTTCCATTATATACAGGGTTTACAGTTTGGTTCAATGGCTCTCAGCACCCCCACTATACAAATTGTTCCAACACCCCGGTCTATTAGGCTTTGTCTACACTACGCACCTTTTGGCGACATTACTGTGCCACTACAGCGGTGCCGCAAAAAGGCACGCAGCATAGCCGCTGTTTGTCAGCAAGAGAGAGCTCTCCCATCAAGAAAAAACTTCCACCCCCAACAAGCAGCGGTAGCGAGAGCGCTCCTGCCGACAAAGCACTGTTCACACCGGCGCTTTTCGTCGGCAAAACTTTTGCCTTTCAGAGTGGTGGGGTGGGGGTCAGACCTCTGAACGACAAAACTTTTGTCGTTCATTTGCCAGTGTAGACACTATTATCCTCTTCAAACACAATAAAAAAGAGAATCTGACAGATATAACTAAAAGTACCGTACTGGTACCACAATGGCCCAAGTCATGGTTTTTCCATCTAGAGGATTTGGCCAGAATACAGTTCTGGATCTGGATCCAGCTTTCATTTTGTAATATGGAAAATTATTTCATACCATCAACAACTCAAAGCATCAGACTGTGTGGCACACCAGCTATTACATATGCTGCTGAAGGATCACTCCAGCCCATTAAGAATTTAAGGTAGGTTTAAGTAAGAGGTAGGGTTTTTTTATTTGTTAGGCACAGGAATTGTATACAAAACAATGGAATAAATTGCCCCAGACCCATAGGTTTGTCTATTTAGGATGAAGTTGTGCCTTTAAGAAACATTTTGTGTTGAGGTGATATGGAGCTGCGCTAACTAAGCAAGCACTTGGATAAATATTGTGCCTTAGGGAAATGCATCTATCTTCAGATGGTACAATCTGCTCCCTCCAAGGCACGTTTAGGCTGCCCTGCAGACCAGTGCAAGAAGGAATGGTCATGACCCTCTCCTCCTCTTCATTCCCTAGGGGCAACTCAGAGGGAGGGAAGACCATGTATTCTTATTATAGTAACTTCTAGTCTTATTGTCAGCTTTCTTATCAGCACATCGAAATAAAGGCAGCATTAGTATCTATCTTAAGTATTTTTACCATATATTGGCAATCACTGTAGTATCTAGGCACTGAATTACATAAATGGCTTATGATAGTTTTATAAATAGTGCATAATTGCTTCAAATAAATGTAGTGATAGGTTTAAAGACAGTCATGAGTTATAGTGATAAGCTTAAAGACGGTTTAAAGCCTCTAACACTGTCATACTGTATTAGCATACGTTATTATTTTATGGTAATGCTGGACACCTTGCAGCAATGTCATGATAAAAAGGAATTCTGATCGTCCTAATTGGAAAGAAAATCAACTTAATGCACATTGATTTTGGTGATCTACTAATGTTGACAATATCCTTATAAATGTAAATTAGTATCTTATAAATACTGAGTATCTTACTAATACTGAGACAACTGAAATGTTTGTTTGAAAAACAGATGCTATGTATATCAAGCAGTTTTTCCCAACACTGCTCTCTTTCTATTCCCAAGAATGGGAATTTAGACTTAGAACTCATTGATACATTAATTAAATCAATACAAAATTTATGGAGATTGTAAATGATGCCATTACAAGCTACTGTGAAGTAACCATTTCAATGTAATTCCTGGGGGATCCCATTAAGATGCCATTAAAGGACCATTATGATGTGTAATTTCAACAGTAAACTATTTTCATTATAAGTCATATTATCATTTTAAAAACAAACAAAAGGGAACACAAAAGCTACATTAAAAATGATTGAATCACAAATTATCGCAAAAGCAAGGTTATTCTACATTAAGACGACCACAGCACCTCATCTTCGCCCTTTCACAGACATTTTTAATTTGGGTACATCAGGTTAATCAACTAGAGTTCCTATTTAGGCACCTATATTTAAGTGGCCTCATTTTCAGAGGTTCTGTGCACCCACCAGTGTCATTAATGCCAAGGGGAGTTGTGGGTGTCCCATACCTCCGAAAATCAGAGTTTTTATGTTAGATGCCCAAATAGAAACTTAGGTGACTAATTCTAGGCATCCAAGTTTGAAAATGTTGGCTTTTATGTTTAGATAATGCAGTATAAATGGCCCACTATATCACTTCCTTCTACAGCTGGCCAAATATTCCTTACACTAATCAGCTTTGCTTGAGTGAATATGTGCTAAGTATTATTACTTGTAAAGAACAACCAGGTACGTGTAATATTTACCATTGCTGAGATCACTGCCTATAATTCTGACCAGTACTGTCCCACTGTTTCCTTGTATTTCCCTGTTTGTCTAACTTGTGTCTTTTGTCCTATAGATTTTAAGCTCTTTGGGGGAAGAAATTGTCTTTTTGTTCTGTGTTTGTACAGTACCTAACGTAATGCGGTTCTGGTCCATGACTGGGGCTTCTAGCCACTACAAAAATACAAATAAAAAATAATTAAGACTAATACTTTATACTTATTTAGTACATTTCATCTAAAAAGCTCAAAGTGACTTAAAAGTATTATCCCCAGTTTACTGATGGAGAAATTTAAGCACTGAGATATTAAATGATTTGTCCATGGCCAGATGGTGGAGAAGTCAGGAATACAAGGTAGATTCCCAGCCCCATATGCTAACCAGTAGAACACAGTGACTTCCCAAAAATAACACTCATGAGCCTATGCAACTATAATGCATGGGAATCATGGCAAACCTTTGTTTGAAAGCTCCAGTGTGGACCACTATGTTGGTCACTGGTGCAGTAGCAATGCAACATAGGGTCAGGCTGGTAGCACTGAGGAAGCAGTGAGTTTAGTCTTCAAAAGGCCTCTCTAGCAACCCCTCTTCCAAATCAAAGGGGAAATACTGATGGGTTCTAAAGGGAGCTGGTTCCAACTTCCCTTCACTGGAGCCTTTCCGACCAACTGCAGGTGGAATAGGGGAGAATTGCACAGGACCCACTGACTCCAAAATATATTTTAATTCTATATAAATCATCCTTAAAATGAAGGACAGTAAAACAATTTACAGCAAAAAAGAGTCCATAGTAGACTGAAGAGTAAAAGAAAGTTTTAAGATGTGATTAAAAGTGAGGAAGTGATTCAGTGGTCTGGATGGAAGAGATCCAGACAAAGGGTACAGCAGAAGTGAAAGTGTGACTCCATGGGGGAAAGGAATCGAGTCAGCCAAGATTTATAAGGGCCAAAGAAAGCAAGCAAATAGATGGAATATAAGAAAAGGAAGGATGTGTCAATATATCACTTTCTTGCTTATTACACATTCATTGATACTTCATCTGTGAAAGTCATGTTCTTCTGTTTAATCTAGGATATATATCCTCTAGAAAACGCAGTGCAGCGGGGTATATTCTCCCCTCATTGTGTGCTTAGAACTCTTATCAATGTAAATGGAAGCTGGAAATGAGCAATTGAAATTAAATCTGAAAGATTCCTAACTCTGATGATATTTCAACCATTGTCTGGGGTACAGGGTATGCAATATTCAGGCTTGGACCAGCAACAGTTTTAAAGACTGATATCTCTCAATCCTGAAGGTTTAGAAATGAGAGCCTATTATGTACAGAAAAAGTTCCCAACAGTGAAATAACATTTAGTCTGAAATTTCTGACCTGGATCACAGAACATAAAAGCATTATTTGACTTTGGGAAGCTGATCACTCATGTCAGCACATTTTACAGAAAAGGGTCAGAGTGCTGACAGCATTAGCTTTTAGCACATAGGACAAGTATAACTTAAATAACCCAGGAACAATATTATTAAAAAATAATTGAAAAACAAGACCTTCTGAAAGTCCACGGTGCAAGACCTACGGATGTCACAGGAACACCAGCAGATTTCAGTGAAGTTACTGATTATTCAGTTTCTCTCCAAACAATACAAAGGTCATAACTATTTAATGTAACATCTTTTTCTATACATTTGTATTAATTCATATGCATGTAATGTATGTAACCTTGCACCAGATTTCATATTCTCTGCATTGTCTGAAAATACTCTTGCATGAATTGACATGTTTTAATGCACACTTCCTACAATAGATTGATACTCAACTTTCTACCTGGGCATATTTCTCTTTCCGGGGGTTGGCAACTTATTAAATCTTTCTTCAGAAGGCAAGTATTACTTCAACATGGAAGTGTAAACTGGTTTGAATTTTAACAAAATGTATGAATAAATGTTTTTGTCACGCTGTCTGGATTGGTTCACAACTGTGAGTGCCTACCTCAGGGTAGACTGTCAGAAAACATGGCAGACACCCCAAACTGGTGCTGTGTTCTATAATTATATTTCACCAGGCCAGTAAGAAATGTGAACTCCTGGATCACTATAACGGTCTTACCATGGAGTCACAGACAGTCCTCTTAGACTCTCCAGTCTATCTTGACACTCAGACAACCTGAACTTTGTGATAAAAGGTCACTTAAACCAAAAATCACACCACATCAGGTTGCTTTCAGTCCCCAGAGACAAGTCACTTACCCCACATCAACTGCTACTCCAGATCCTACACCAAAGACAACGCTGGCAGACAATTCTATAGTAAACTAACTAAAGGTATATTAGCTAAGAAAACAAAATGAGAGTTATTAAGAGGTTAAAGCAAGTAAAATATATGTACAGATGAGCCATAGTTTGTAATTGCAAATGGTGGCGGTCATGTAATAAACTGCCAGTTTTCCAAAAATCTTTTCAGGGTTCCCAGATTATCTCTGGAGATTTCCGCTTCATATCTGGTCACTTCCCTGTAAGAGTCCAACCTGTCTAGAGATCCAGGATCTTTCCTTGAATCCATGCTTACAGCTTCTTCTCACAGAAAACAAGCTGACAGTGTCACTACCCACGTGGGCTTTTCCTTTGATGATAGTAAGGGACGAATGCACTTTGAGTCTTTGAGCACTTTTCTGCTAAAGTTCTTCATTTGCATTCCACAAGGCTTCTTTTACATTTGAAGGGTTATTTAGTTACAGGGTTATACACAATGTAAATTTATTACATTATAACAGGAGACAGATAAGTGAAAACAATTCAAATAACATCCCATTCGTTTTCATGAAGTTTAAACTAGGGCTGTCAATTAATCACAGTTAATGCATGCGATAAACACAAAACAAATTAACTAGATTAAAAAATTGTTACGATTAATTACAGTTTTAATCGCACTGTTAAACAATAGTAGGATACCAATTTAAATTTATTATAAATATTTTTGATGTTTTTCTACATTTTCAAATATATTGATTTCAATTACAATACAGAATACAAAGTGTACAGTGCTCACTTTATAGTATAATTTTTATTACAGATATTTGCACTATAAAAAAGATAAACAAAAGAAATAGTATTTTTCAATTCATGTCATACAAGTCCACTCAGTCCTACTTCTTGTTCAGCCAATCGCTAAGAAAAACAAGTTTGTTTACATTAATGGGAGATAATGCTGCCCACTTCTTATTTACAATGTCACTTGAAAGTCAGAGCAGGAATTTGCATAGCACTGTTGTAGTCAGTATTGCAAGGTATTTACATGCCAGATATGCTAAACATTTGTATGCCCCTTCATGCTTCGACTTGTAGGCGCTAAAGTTTTACATTGTTTTGTTTTTTAGTGCAGTTATGTCGAAAAAAATATTCTATAATTGTAAGTTGCACTTTCATGATAAAGAGATTGCACTAACATACTTGTATGAGGTGAATTGAAAAATACTATTTCTTTTAACTTTTTTACAATGCAAATCTTTGTAATCAAAAATAAAGTGAGCACTGTACACTTTGTATTCTGTGTTGTAATTGAAATCAGTATATTTGAAAAGGAAGAAAAACATGCAAAAATATTTATAATAAATTTAAATTGGTATTCTATTATTAACAGTGCAATTAAAACTGCAATTAATTGCGACTTATTTTTTATCTCACGATTACTTGTGATTAAATTTTTAATCGTTTGACAGCCCTAGTTAAAATGCCAAATACACTCTTATACATTTAACAATTGCTTTGATCTATACTACCATACAAGTGAATTGGCCTGGGGCTCTTGCATGAGCTGGCACCTGGTCTGCCAACATCACAGTTTTTGCAAACACAATCAGGAGATATGCGAGGTGAGAGAGATTGGTACAACATCATCCATTAGTGTACACTCTTTAGAAAAATATGTGGACACCAGCCAATGTGTTTTTGCAAGATTACTTTTGAAAACGTGTTCTGGCAGACACAGCCTAAATGAGAAACTACAGTATATGTGGTTTGCTCTCCTTTTTCTTATACAATCAGCAAATCTCACAATACATTGAAGAACAAAACTTAAATATAATAGGGGATGAGAGGCCAACAGCATAAAGCATTCACTGCAAAAAGGGAACATATAGCTAGGATCATTAAACTAAAGTTCAGTCCTTCAAGTACAAAGCAGGAAAAGAAGTTATGCATAAAATTAAAACCCTGTGTTTCATTAGAACCTAAAAACACAAGAATGGCCATACTGGATCAGACCTATGGTCAAACTAGCCCAGTATCCTGACTTCCAATAACAGCCAGGGCCAGATGCTTCAGAGGGAATGAACAGAACAGGGCAATTATTGAGTAATCCATCCCATCGTCCAGTTCCAGTCTCAAGAAGTCAGAGGTTTAGGGACACCTAGAGTATGGGGTACCGTCCCTGACCTCTTGGCTAATAGCCATTGATGGACCTATCCTCCATGAACTTATCTAATTCTTTTTTTAACTCAGTTATACTTTTAGCCTTCACAACATCCCCTGGTAATGAGTTCCACAGGTTGACTCTACTTTTTGTGAAAAAGTACTTCTTGTGTTTCTTTAAACCTGCCCATTATTCATTTCATTGAGTGACTGCTGGTTCATGTGTTATGTGAAGGGGTAAATAGCACTTCCTTATTCATTTTCCACACACCATTCATTTTTATAGATCTCTATCACATCCCCCCACAATCATCTCTTTTCTAAAATGAACAGTCTCAGAGTTTTAAATCTTTCCTTATATGGAAGCTGTTCCATACCCCCTAATCACTGGACTTTTCCAATTCTAATATATCTTTTTAAGATGGGAGCAATCAAAACTGCACACAGGATTCAAGGTGTGGGCACACTATGGATTTATAAAGTGGCATTATTGTTTTTTTTATCTTATTATCTATTCTCTTCCTCATGGTTCCCAACATTCTGGTAGGTTTTTTTTGATTGCCACTGCACACTGAGCTGATGTTTTCAGAGAACAATCCAAGAAGACTTCAAGATCTCTTTCTTGAGTGATACCAGCTAATTTAGACTCCATGTTGTATGTATAATTGGTATTATGTTTTCCAATGTGCATTACTTTGCATTTATCAACACTAAATTTCATCTGCCATTTTCTAGCCCAATCACCCAGTTTAGTGAGATCCCTTTGTAACTTTTTGCAGTGTGCTTTGGACTTAACTATCTTGAGTAATTTTATATCATCTGCAAACTTTGCCACCGCATTGTTTACCCTTTTTCAAGATCTTTTATATGTTGAATAGCACAGGTCCCAGTAGAGATCCTTGGGGGACTCCACTATTTACCCTCTCTCCACTGTGAAAACTGACCGTTTATTCCTAACTTTTGTTTCCTATCTTTTAACTAGTTACTGATCCATGGGAAGACCTTCTCTATTCATCCCACGACTGCCTACTTTGCTTAGGAGTCTTTGGTGAGGGGCCCTGTGAAAGGCTTTTTGAAAGTCTAAGTACACTATATCCACTGGATCACGCTGGACAAAATGTCTGTTGACCCCCTCAAAAAATTCTAATAGATTGGTGAGGCATGATTTCTCTTTACAAAAGCCTTGTTGACTCTTCCCCCAACATATTGTGTTCATTTGTGTGTCTGATCATTCTGTTCTTCACTATACTTTCAACTAATCTGCCCACTACTGATGTTGGACTTACTAGATTGTAATTGCCAGGATCACTTCTGGAGCCTTTTAAAAAAATCAGTGTTACATTACTATCCACCAGTTATCTGGTACAGAGGCTGATTTAAGTGATAGGCTACATACCACAGATAGTAATGCTACAAATTTATATTTGAGTTCCTTCAGAAAGCTTGGATGAATACCATCTGGTCCTGGTAAAACCAACAAGATGCTTTAACAAAAAATCCCAGAGCTCCTTTTATTAAATATATATTACTTTAAATTTGATTTAAAGGGAAGCTAATTACAAAGCATTTTGTTTCAATTAGGGGCTGGAATGGAAGTATTCTGCAGATGGCAATGCAGCTGTATTTTTATCTAAAAATCTTTATGAAAAAAAGCTGTGGGCCTTTTAGGAGTCCTAAAACAGTTGACTTCTCATGTTTGTGTTTCAGTACAATGTCCTGGGATTCTAGTTCGCAAATCCACTTTTATCTCAACAACTAATAATGTGAGATGAATATTTTACAGACCTGGACTGGGTTGACAGGCAGTGTGGCATTATCTGGTGGGCCAGTCCCTTGAATGAGCCGCAGGGCCTATCAGCCAGTTGTTCCTCTTGCAGCTCCAGCACAGCAAAGTGACCGGAGAGCTGTACAGCTCCCTCCGTCTATGCTACTGTTACATCTGTTAGGAGTGAGCTGCATGCAGTGTTCACTCTGCATGGGCATCTGTATGTTGTGACACTGCCGCAGTATCTCATGATGCTGCACAAGTCAGCATCTATCATTACAGGTGGACTCAAACTGCAACATCACAACATAAATAGTTTGTTGCACAAGACACATATAGGCAGAAATCCTAATACTACAAGTAGAAGGCTAAAACCTGAAAGAGGAAACTATTAATTACAAGAGGATTTTGGAGGGACCATAACCACACATTCTTTATTTTAATAAAACAAAACAACACAATTGAAGCATTAGAGAACTTGATCTTTACGGTTCCATTGTTCTTAAATAAAATGTTTATATTAATTCCCACCCTGCAACCATGCATTACTGACCTATGGTGTTCCAATATAGAGCTTTCAACATAACTGTAAACTGTCAGATACTACCTGCTTTACTGGAACTGAGAAGACATCCAATTCCAAGCACTATTTGTCATTATTTGGGCCATTTTTTCTAAATCAAAGAAAATTATAGAAAATTATACTTTATAACAGCTGCCTTCAAAAATAAC